CCCATTTAAATAATTTTATTTTCCCCATTGGCGTAGTATCTTTCAATCTCAATTAAAATACTAGTCTAACACTTTCCCTTCGTGCTATTTAAAATTCACCTCCAATTGGAGAATATTAGAGGAGAAATTTGGAAGAGATGTCACTAGCAGAAAATTAGGCCCTTCTTTTATATTTTCTTATCTACACATGTCTTAAACCCCTATTTGTAACCACATACCTATATCGTCTTATATGCCTATGAGTTCCTATATACGCCTACACACACATTCACATGAAACGATATATGTATATTTCCATCTTTACACATATACACCTGCAGAGAGAACGCACATCCACATGTCTCCATACCTGTCTCCATGTATACTTATACTTACATATATATATATATACACACAAGGACGTCTGCATATCCATATATACTCATACGCACATATATATATATCTACACATCCATACGTATACACATATACACATACATACACACACCCATATATGCATACGTGCATACATATATATACATACACACACATATGCAGACGCAATCTGCAGAATATCCATATACCCATATATGCGTTAATTTGCACTTACATTTATCTCTACCTACGTATTTGTCCCTATTCTCATGTCCACCTGTGCATCCACTTATGCCTGCGTTCGAAGACTATCTCAGTATTTAATTACATTATCTATGTGTTTACACATATAATATTATCCGATCTTTCATATTTATGGCAAAACATATAAGTACCTAACTAATTGTACATCTCCACACTCACAAAAAAAAAAAAAAAAAAACTGGTATGTTTCTTTTTCCGTATAAAAACATATACATGTACATATCAACAGGTGTCTCAGTGTGCAAATACATTATCATAGTTGTATACATACAGTCATGTGTTAGCATCCATGTGTGCATAGTAATATTTCTAAAAACAAAGGGAATATAAAACATTCAAAATTGCTGTTCCTATATGATTATTTCTTAGTGTACTTGCTTAGGTTTAGGTTGTTTTTGTGTCGGCATTTAAAAACTAGTTCATTGTGTTTATTTAGTAGTATGTCTGGATTTTTATGTTTGATTATGATTTTCTCCTTCAAACATAAGTTGCATCTGTCTCTGAAGTTTTTGGGAGTTCTGGCTCTTGATATTATTCTCCACATTATTTGTGGTGTTAGGCCACTCTCCAACAAAAACCAATAATGATTTGATAGTGCTGTTTGTTTTTTTTTACATTTATTTTTGAAGGATTGGTGATGGTTGTATAGTCGGTGTTTCCAATCTCCCGCTGATATTCCAATGTATATCTTTTTCTCTTCAACTTTTACTTTGGGGAAAATTGTTGCTTCATGTATTGTGTTCTCTGCCATGCATATTCCTTCAACTGGGCACTCTGATCCTGTCCTGCAATTGCATGTTGATTTTTCCATTCGTGTTGTATCCTGATTTTGTCTTAGATTATCCTGAAGGTCTTTTAAAATTTTACTGTTGTGTGAGCTATTAATATGTATATATATATATATATGTATATATATATATATATATATATATATATATATATATATATATATATATATATATATATATATATATATATATATATATATATATATATATATATATATATATATATATATATATATATATATATATATATATATATATATATATATATATATATATATATATATATATATATATATATATATATATATATATATATATATATATATATATATATATATATATATATATATATATATATATATATATATATATATATATATATATATATATATATTAAAAAGAAGAGAAGAGAGGTGCCGCTAACGTTTTTGGTTGCAATGTGGATTTATTTAGAAAAATATTATGCTTTGTTTTTACATAATTTTACGACACGTGTTTCCGGTCTCTCATGACCGTCTTCAGGTAAAAGTGGAGATGTCTACATATTATTAAAAATAATTAATTTTTCTTCATGTTCAATGTGAAATATTCTCGATATGAGACATTCTCTGTTTGTGTGTTGGTAATCCGAATTTCTTTCGAGAATTGTCAATGAAGAGTTCTGCGCGAAGGGTCATAAAACAATTAAGGTTGGTCCAGCGAGTAGTTATCGAACTACATAAAACTCTCAAGAAACGAGGCTACCCCACAACACTAATAAACAAAGGTATTGAACTCGCAAAAGAAATTCCTCTAGACCAACTTAGAAATAAAAAGAAACGTAACGTCGAACAAACTCTAGCATATGTCTCAACGTACAACAAAAACAATCCAGAAATATTCCCAGAAATCACAAAAAATCTAGATTTACTTAGCAAGAATAATAAACTGAACAATATACTAAAAACAACCAAAATAATTAAGAGCAAATGCCAATCTAGAAACCTAAAACACATGTTAACCTCATCTAAATTTAACCAACACAAAATACAGGGAGTCACAAAATTCAACAAAAAAATATGTGGGGTTTGTGACATCATTATAGAAGGAAACTCCTACACTTTTGAAAACCCAAAAAAAACATTCACAATAAATAAAAACTTAAACTGCAACTCCAAAAATGTAATTTATGCACTTCAATGCACAAAATGTAAGAAGTCATATATAGGCATCAGCCAACAACTGAACAACAGGGTCTCCCTACACAAAAGCAATATAAAATTGACAGACAACAGAAAACTTTTTGTATCACAACATATTTTCAAATGTAACCAGGGTAAGTTTAATATCATGCCGATATATCAAACAGACAATTACTCGTATCTACAAATACAGGAAAAAAACTTTATAGACAAATTTAAACCCGAACTAAATAGATCGTAACCCTACACACAAAAACACACAACATGCACACAGGGTGACCAAATACAATGATCAAATTGCTCACATACATGGACGTGCACTCATATACGGGAGACACGAGGAGATATATATATATATGTATGTACACATACATACATACATTTATGTATGTATATGCGGATGTTGACAACTTAAGAAGTATGTGTGTGTGTGTGTGTGTACTGGTTCCATGTAGCTTGGGAAATATGTGTGTATATGTGTGTGTGTGTGTGTGTGTACTGATTACTTCTGGTGGGATAGTGTGTATGTGCGTATGTGTGTGTATGCGTGTATAGGTACAAATAAGTTTATGAATACCTCGTAGTAAGACAGTATATGTATGGAGGGGAAATATACGCACACATATATACACGCATGCTGACAGGAACACACCAAAATGGAAACAGATCCAAGAGTACATAGGGGTCACTAAAACATTAAAAGATAAAATGCCAATAACTACTCGCTGGACCAACCTTAATTGTTTTATGACCCTTCACAAGAGAACTCTTCATTGACAATTCTCGAAAGAAATTCGGATTACCAACACACAAACAGAGAATGTCTCATATCGAGAATATTTCACATTGAACATGAAGAAAAATTAATTATTTTTAATAATATGTAGAAATCTCCACTTTTACCTGAAGACGGTCGCGAGACCAGAAACACGTGTCGTAAAATTATGTAAAACAAAGCATAATATTTTCTCTAAATAAATCCACATTGCAACCAAAAACGTTGGCGGCACCTCTCTTCTATTCTTTTTAATATACATACTTTTCTCTCGTTGGAACCACTACAACATATTTCTTTTGTATATATATATGTATATATATATATATGTATATATATATATATGTATATATATATATATATATATATATAATGTATATATATATATATATATATATGTATGTATATATATATATATATATATATATATATATATATATATATATATATATATATATATATATATATATATATATATATATATATATATATATATATATATATATATATATATATATATATATATATATATATATATATATATATATATATATATATATATATATATATATATATATATATATATATATATATATATATATATATATATATATATATATATATATATATATATATATGTATATATATGTATATATATATATATATATATATATATATGTATATATATATATATATATATATATATATATATATGTATATATATATATATATATATATATATATATATATATGTATATATATATATATATATATATATATATATATATATATATATATATATATATATATATATATATATATATATATATATATATATATATATATATATATATATATATATATATATATCAAAGATTATTTGATATGCATTTTTTCTGCTTAAAATTTAATGACCCATGTATATAATGCTGTATCTTAGTATTATATATTTAATGCCTAATAAAGCTTCTTTTTTTTTATATCATTTCTTCCCAAACAAGGCAATGAAACTACTAAGATGCAAGGAGTTAATGAGTGTGAGATAATATGAGAAAAAAAAAATTATTAAAGAGAGAGAATGATAAATCAAAAGGAATTCAGAAAACAGAAGATAATGATTGACATTACACTTGTTTAATTTGACATCAATGATACGTAAATTATAAATTAGTCAGCACTAATCTAACTACAAAATTAGCAAAAAATAATGGTAAAAACTTTTGGATATCATACAATCACTTCCATTTGACAAAGCATTTGTCCACTTCTTTAAAATCATTTCACACCAAGCAAGGCAATAAAGCAGGGTGTTACTGAATGTGATAGAATATGAGAAAAAGAAAAACATTAAGGAGAGAGAACAATAAAAGAATAGGAATTAAGAAGACAGAAAATAAAAATTGACATTGCATATGAATTTTTGAAGACCAAAGTTGTTGGAGAAGAAAGAAGCCAGAAGAGTTTCATAAGTGAAATATATGATAGAAGAAACTGTTAGCATAGAACTTATGGTTACATTTTGCCAATTCAATTATAAAATGATGAGACCTAGCTGTCAAATTATGTTAAGGTTTAGACAGACTCTTGATTAGAATGTAATATTTGCTATAATAAATCTGTTTTTTTTATCTTTTTCAGGTGCCCTCATGTATCTTAATGAGGCAACATTGTTACACAACTGCAAAATCCGCTATTATAAAAATCAAATTTATGTAAGTTGTTTCCTTTATATCATTTCGTCTTTTTTAATTTTTTAATGTTTAATTCTTGAAACAGGAACGTTCCATTTTCAGTTTGACTAAACAGGAGTTTGTGTTGACAGATTTTAAGACATAGTTTCAAAACATTCTCCTAAATTCAAGAAAGGACATTTCTAAAAATTGGTACACTTCCTAGCATATATATGAAGGTGAGTCAAATTTGTTTTATTATATAAAGAATAAGGAACACAAACATATTGTACATCAAGATACAGCTATAGATCATTGGTTCACATCCCTATTTCTCAACATAGTCACTATCTCATCAATGGCAGTGTTCCACCTACAAATGAGGACATGTTTCTCAGCTGGCTGCTGTTGTAAGCAATTCCTTCAAGCAATTTTCACTTCTTCATCACCACCATCACGTTTGTATCTCAGTGTCTCTTTCATCGGACCAAATTACTGGAAGTCTGAGGATGCTAAGTCAGGTTGTGATGTAGAAGTGAAAACTGCTCTAAGGAATTGCCTATATCAGCAGCCAGATTAGTTTTGTTATGAAGTTGGGATACATGTCCTCATTCATAGTTGAAAGTGGTTGTGACTCTGTTGAGAAGTAGGGATGTGAACCCATGATGTATAGCTGTAGATGTATGATATATTGGATATGTTCCTTATATCTGACATAATAATACAAAATGCATTACATTTTCACTCACCCTCATAAAATATTTTCAATTATTTTTTCTTTAATACCAAATAATATGGCAATAAGTACCTTAACTAAATACTTTTATCTCTACTATATTTTTTATTGGTGAAATCCTAACCATACAAATCACCATCATGGCCCATGTTCATCTGTCTGCGTTATAAATAATTTTCTTTTTTGTTTATCATCTTTATTCTTCATTTGAATTTTATTCTTTACTTGCAGTGACTTGTCATTTTTCGGGCAGTTCTATGATACATTTTGAGTAATATTCTGCAGGTTTTTATGTGAAAAATTTTTTTACAAACCCTTGATGCTGGTCTTCATTAGAGAAAGTTTTCTACCATTAAAACATTAAAATTTCCTTGTAACAGGATAGGTAAGTTAGGGTTGATGTAGCAGCAATCCTGACTTAATATTATTTGAGTATTGTTAAAGTAATTACCCAGTTGCTATATGTATTTGTAGTGTAGGAGGAGTCCTTTTCTCTTTTTTTTATATCGAAAACAAAATGAATTAAAACATACAACAATAATATAAACAATAACATGACGTAACATGACATAAATAAGAAAAATTTGTATTTTCTTTTTGTGATGTGAATTACAGAATATTGGTATGGTGTGTGTAAAAATATTCTCAGTGTTTCTTTTGTTTAAAAGTCACTGCTTACTTGTTTTGATTCTGAGAATTTCACTTGTGAGGATGCATTTGAAATTGGTTGTTTTCAATCTTCCTGAGTGCTAGAAGACATATGTTTCTACTGACTATTACTACTTGTCTACTGGTCTACTACTATGGGTACCCTAGTCTAAACTAATCTACTTTACTCTACTGACTCTCTTGTGGTGGAATGGTTGTTTTTATAATGATGAGAGTTAGAATGATTAAATATCCTCCTTTTCTATCATCACTGATGACAAGGTTATTTTTTGAATGATGAAATATCCTTCTCATTCTGGACCATTAAATAAACAATTAAGATATTAAATAAAATTTAATTTCCCCATTAAAGCATTCAGTGTGCAGTGATTGAAAAAGGTAATAACCAGTCAGTGAACTGAGTTCCAAAATGTTTTCCTGTGTTATGCCATGCATTCTCATAGAGAACAGCATTTTTTCCATTAATCCACCATTCAAAAACAAAGGTATGTTACTATACCCTAAATATATTTTTGACTGACACACATGATTGACAGTTAGGATAACGTACTCATCATTACAATTCATTCTTCCAAATGGACATATGACTTGACCAAATAATTTGTTTTTAATGATTTCACCCCAAATAAGGCAATAATGTCACTAAGATGCAAGGGGTTACTGAGAGTGAAAATGAATAAAACTTTAAAAGGACTTGGAAACAAGGGATAAAACTCTACTCCTGTTCAGTAGATGGGGAGGAGAGTAAACTGGACATTAGGTAAACTTATCTACTATTAATTTTATAAAAAGTAATTTTCTGTTTTTTATAATGGAGAACTGGATCTAATTTATGTCTGAGGCAATTTTTATAAAATTATTCTTGGTTTTTGTTGTAATGTATAGCAAGAGTGTGTTGAGGTTGGGGGGAAATGCCTAACCAATTGCTCTCTCAGCAACCACAGGGGTAATAGGCAGAGGGGAAAGAGACAGACAACAGGTAACAAAAATAACACTGCCTCGGAAACCACAGCAACTTGAGGAACAAAACTGCTCATGAGACTGACTTCACAAGATACTGTATCTTGCCAACTGCTGGTTTCCTCTTGATTTTATTGGCATCTGTCATCTTATAAAGACCCAGATCTTGACCAGTTGTGAAGAGGCCCATACTAGTTATGTGAATCTGTCCCCCCTGCTAAGGGGAAAAACCCAGATGTAACTGGTGTTGACAAACATGTCCACATGCGATCTGAGGGCTCTTTTGCAGCTGTACTGATGCACGTTTGCTACAGTTTTACTTTATGAAGCTCTGGACATAAATTACAAATGGATAATACCTTTTTTTTTCTTCAAAACTTAATTAAGAAATATGTCATCTAAATTCTGTACGACCAAAAAGTTATTTTTTTTCTAATTCTTCAAATTTTGAGTATTTAGCAACAACAAAGATTTTCCCTTCAACTGAAATGAATTCAGTAAAAAAAAAAATCTAAGTGACTCTTAATTTATGACATAACTGATGTCTAGAAATATTGTTAAATTAGATTCAATTCTACCAAAGTGATTCAACCTGGTCCACTTGATTGTATATTATTTTAAGATGAATTTCTTTATAATAAAGGATATGACAAAAATACCTCCCACATAATGGTAAGACACTATTGTCACTAATGTCTTAGCATTATATGTCTGAGGTATTACTTGGGGGTATATGTGGGAGGTATTTCTGCCACACCCTTTTTATAAGCGAAACATTAAAGTTTATATTTGTGATCTTTGTTTTAAAATTGATGTCTTTCTGAGAGTCTAAGAATAGAGGCAATTGTCTACCAATTAATTTATGGCCCTTCCACAGTTGGGCAGCCTCTCAGATTAGGATGATAAATGCTTCTTTTTCTCTTTTTTTTTTTAATTGCATGATATATAAGCACCTAGGTAAAAAGAAACAAATTTTGATTCTTCTATTTTGTAAATATTCATGAAACTTGTAGACTTTACTTTGTTATCACACACAACTCCACTGAGTAATAGAGCAACAGTTTGTGATATCTACAGACAACCTATTCTCTCTGGTTGTCCTAAAAATAAAAAAAAATAACCACCCTTATATTGCACACATACTGGAGATTTCTAACTGGGTAAAATTAGAAAAATCTGTTCTTTTAGCATGGATACCAGACCATGTTGGTATAAATGGTAATGAGAAAGTAGATGAAGTATCAAATAAAAATTTTCAGTACAAATTTTAATCACTTATTTAAACTCTTTATTTGAACTAGAAAGAAAAATGAATTTATTATAGCTTTAAAAATTGACATATTAAAAATAGTATAAAAAGTGTACTTACTCATTAATATGTTAGAGTAATAGATTTGTGGCTCGTAGAGCAGAGTTTTAATTCCAGTTGCTTTCATTATATTCACTTCTATGTAAATACCCCTGGGAAAGGTATGAATCCAACTTTTCTCCTTCCAGCTTTGGGTAAATAGTAGGACAGACTGGGTTCCATAGCCTTCAGTGGCAACTGGTCTAGGAGAAGGAAAAAAACCTGAATTCAAAACTATATGTAAACTTGACAAAATACATACTATTCAGCTAAGGAAAGGATCACTAGCACTGACTCTATGATCCCGACTATGGTCAGTTTCTTTTTTATATAGGGTGCAACAGAAATACCTTCCACATAATGATGACATTAGCTAAATGAAGACACCATTTCCACTTATGTCTTACCATTATGTGGGTGGTATTTTTGCCATACCCTGTATTAATATACAATATACAAATATATTAAAATGAGGGGAGGAAAAGCAAGAAAAAATATATCTGTGTTAAAATGTTAAATCAAGAAATTATAATGCAAGAAAACCAAGAGAAGTTTGGTTCACCCATCACCTGGTTCAAACTCCTCATCTGGTCTTTTGAACAGGAGTCAAGGTTTATCTTATTTCTTGTTTAGTATTGGGTTTCCAGTTCCTTCTCAAGTTTTCTCAATTTCTTTCACTTCCAATAGCCACTTGTCTTAGTGGCAATATCACCTTGCTTGAGGTGAAATAATTTTTTTTTACAAAAACAATCTAATTAGTTAACATTCCCTGTTAGCTTCTCTGTGACTTTTCTATAAATAATTTCATGGTAATTGTTCTGATGAACTTTCCACTATGGTACCTAGATTTTATGTATTTAAGTGCAGTACTAGATCAGTGGCAAGGCTTCATCATTTTACAGTCAAAATGGTTAGTTGTAATCAAGTTATATTCTAACAGTTTCATCTGCCACATTTCTCATTTGTGAAATTCTCTTCTGTAATCTTACTATCCTGTCAACTACAATCTTCAAAAGTTTCATCTTCTGTCTTAATTTCTGTTTTTTATTGTTCTCGCTCCTTAATGTTTTTGTTTTTCTTATATTATTTTACACTCAGTAACTTCCTACATTTTAGTGGCTCTGTTGTCTTGCTTGGGGTAAAGGGTTAAAAAAATAAAAATTCCTCAATCTTCATAGCTCAATGATGAAATTAGAAAACTCTCCAATTTTAGTTGTTATGAAAAAATTAATATTTTTTGTCCTTAATTTATCTCTGAAAAGCAAGAAACAATAACAGGTTATGTTTGATCTTCCTTTTATCATATTTTTTCAATTTACCATTTTATTGTAAATATATTTATTCTTAGATTTTCTTTCCTTTGTTTTAAGATATTTTTATATATTTTATTTAGTAGGTCATTTTTTTAATGTGTCCATTTTTAAAACTCTGAAAATGAGTTTATTTCTAATGTAAAAAATAATTTATATTGTTTTGCAAAAGGTATCTCCTGTAGTGTATGCTAATCTTGAAAACCATTGACAGTGATTTTGTTTTTGTTAGATACCCTTTATACAAGTTGAATTGTTATAATCAATGATTCCAATAAATATCTTTGTAAAAACAAATACCAAAATACACAGAAAGGTAAAATATTTGTCATGAGTTTCAGCCATTTCTTGTACTTGCATTTTCATCTAATCTATCAACATCTTTTTCCAGACCTACACCGCCAATATACTAATTGCCATCAATCCTTACTGTGTTATTCCCAACCTGTACTCATCACAAACAATACAAGCATACCGAGGAAGATCTCTTGGTACAATGCCACCCCATGTCTTTGCGATTGGTAAGTAAGAAATGACTATTTACCATTTTATATGGGAATAATCTCCTAAAATAATGCTCTTTACTGAATAAAGTTGCTTTCAATGATTTTTGTTTTTTTTTACTGAACTTAGTTGTTCAGAAAATACTGATCTAAAAATGGATCTCATCTTTTTAATGATGATATTAAGAAAGGTTTTGACTATCAATAATTTTATTGCAATATACAACACAGGGTTTATCTTTCTACTCACTCTTAATTTCACTTCTTCTCCATATATTCCTGGTGAGAAACTTTCTTGTTTCTATTTCCTGATCTATCAGAAGTGGGAACCCAAAATATCAGTCAGTTAAGTACCATATGTGATAGATTCTTGGGCAATCATTTCTATTTCAATTCATGACTTAGCAAAAGATTTTTCCACACTAAGTTGTCATTTCTTTCAGTAGTCTGGTTACCAACCAAGGCTATAGGATCCTGTGTATAACATAGTTTCTCTATGCCTTTTTAAATGTATTTTCATGACAGTTTTTCTGATGAACTTTTGTTTTTGGTATCTGGGTTTAAGGAATATTAGTGTAGTATGAAATTAGCAGCAAGGTTTCATCATTTTACTTTTGAAATTACTAAATATAAGTAGAAGTTGTATGTTTATTTCCATATTCATGACATTTTGACAGTTGTATGCTCCGGCCTTCTTCAGGTCATATTTGTTGGAATTTCAAACCAAACCATTTATTTAGTTCATGTGTCAAGGATACATTTTGAGGGACTACTGTATTACTATTGAAACAGCAGCTGACTTTGCTGCATTATGAGACTAATTAAAGAATGACCAAGTTATAAAATATTCACTGTTTCTTTTTGTTTTATTTTCTTTGCTAATTGATCTGTACTTTTTTTTCTTGCGCAGGAGACAAGGCCTACCGTGATATGAAGGTCCTAAAACAAAGCCAGTCGATCATTGTGAGTGGGGAATCTGGTGCCGGCAAAACAGAGTCTACCAAGTACATCTTGAAGTACTTGACTGAGAGCTGGGGAACCCATGCCGGCCCCATCGAGCAAAGAATTGTTGAATGTAAGTATTTTATACTTAGCAGTGCAACTGGAAGTGTATACCATGTCTTTTTTCAGATCTAGACAATCATAGCTCTCCACAATTTCCTTTTCTTTAGTATCTGAATTGTCATGACTTCTTGGGAAAGGTAGTGTTTTCATAATTTCAAACTCTGAGTAGAGAGAGCCATATCTACCCTGCTATTTAACCCATAACTGGGGAGGAATAATTAATGGACTCATACCTTTCCCAAAGGCATTTATACAAAGTGAACACAACAGACTGGGCTGGAATTAGAACTCTGTTTAGCAATTTCAGATTGCATGCCAATAACCTTTAGACTACCTACATATCAACTGTATCTAAGTATATTACTTTTTTGAGTTTAATAATGTATGTAGCAAAATGTTTGTTCATGCTAATATATATACCTGTAGGGTGGGCATAGTTTTTACAAGACTTGTTGCAAGCTATGTTATCATTACCATGTTAAATCAACTGTTAGAACCTAATAAAAAAGTTCAAAATTACCAAACAACTTAACTATTATACCAGTGTTACTAATCCTTGGTAAGAAGCATACAAAACTGAAGACACAGATATGAAAAGTAGCAGCAGGATTAGATTTGGATCTCATAGAATCATTACTCAAGTGCCTAATACCAGTGGGTGTGAGGATGGAAAGCAGTGTAAGATGTCTTAATAAAAGTAAATCAAAAATTAAGAATTTAAATAAAAAAATGTTTGTTCTTTCAGAAGCACTATGGTAATGCCCAAAATTATCCCCAGGACTTCTTTCATTTTCTGATAAGATAGCAGCATGTGAAGAATCTCTGGAACAACTTAATTAGTATGCAAAAAAGCATGGATAAATCAAATATCAGCTCATATAAATCACCTAAAAATTGAAAGTAAATTCTTGTACCATCATGAAAATATAATCTTTAACTAAAAGCTTCTTGTTTGTAGCTTCTACCGCTTAGAAAATATCTTGTCCAAGAACTTAGAATAATTTTCTGTATTTAACTTGAAACCATTTGTAATAGTCTTATAATTTTATTGTCAAGAATCTTACTGTCTATAATAGCATTCTGGGCTTCAATTAGTCAGACCTGGTCACGAATGCCATACATTGTCAATGATTACTCATGCTGGAGACATGATTAACACTAAGGGCAGGAGCGAGAAGGGGAAAAACAATGACTTGCCACCAAGGAGAAGTGTGTTCAATAAGGCAACATCAAGGGAGAGCATCTTCACATGCATTTGTTGCAATCAAGACTGTCACATCCATGTGGACCTATACAGTCATAACAGATGCTTTACCCCCTCAGCTGATGAGGCATAACTCTTTGGGTGCAGATGTAAAGTTTCTCAAGATCAACAGATGCCACACAAATAGTAATATTGAAATTGGCCATTTCCAAACATTTGGCATTCATTGACCAAACAGTAGAAAATAATAAAATCTTTCTCTTAAAAAAATTTATCAGGAAAATAGGTTTCTCAAGTCCACTGTTATTGCTCTTTCTAATACTAATAGGAGTTGCCTTCCTAATCTTTTGTTTAAGGAAGTGTGGAAAATCAAAATTTTGATTATATCATTATTTCCCCTTCTATTTTAATGTGTTACTCATTTTTGTTGTTATCACTGTCGAAAGTCTTCAAGTAATTTGCTTTTTGTTATTTGCTAAAACTCTTTGTGATTTTGAAGTGTCACTCTATTGAAGCCTGATGAAGGAATCTTTTCCTTAAGACTTGCTGGATTCATTTGCTTGAAGCCATTTTTAATAATGGATCTGAGGAAATATAGTATTGTACTCAATTTGAAAGTAGAGGTATGACATGATAAATAATAACATAAAATATTTTTTTTCCAAATCATTACCGTTATTTTCGGAAACAAGTTTAAATATTAAATTTAGGTTCAAAATTTTAGCATTGAAATTTAATTCCAGTGATTTGTGAAAGCTTTATACAGCCTTATAAAATTTATAATTACTGAAGCTTTACAAATTTTATACGGACAAAATGCATGGCACAAACACATTATTACTAAATCATTGTGCCATCAAATAAGACCTTCATTTACTTCAAAGTGAAATTATACTGAACAATTTAGTCATATTATAGTAAATTTAGTCATATTATAGTCAATTTAGTTATATTATACAGTGCAGTAGTTTTAGTGTGATTTTCAATAAACAATGCAAATTTAAAACATTTTGTCTTATAATTTGTACCCAGCAGTATTATGGTGTTATATACATTTTTATCTATTTTTTGTTTTTATCAAATATGATCTAACAAATCTGATTTTTGGTGTCAGTACTTATCACATCAAACCATAGCTTTGACACTAAGTGCAATGTTGATTCTTCTAAAGAAATTGAAAAATCAACCGGCACAATTGTATATAGCTAATAGCCCAAAACATTATCCCTTTTCTCATTGTTCTCTTCAAAGTCATATTGGTTGACTATTTTTATAAAGGAGTGAAAACTTTATCCCAGCCTCGATGTAATTTTACAATCATTGCTAACTGTTACTATAAATAAATAAATTTTCATATATTTCACCCAACTTACATATTTCTGTTTCTAATATTTACTTAAAAGTTATCTTCTCATTTGCTTTCATCTCTTTAGTCAATGGTTTTAATAGCCTGCACTTTTTCTCTGTTTTAATTTTGGAAAAACAGCTTCAAATCTTTTCTTGTTGATCAATCAAGTTTAGTTACTTTTTACTCTTTAAATTTTTCTAAGATTTCTTTTTATGACATCACTGATCATGCATTTCTCTTTTGATATTTGACCTCTCTTTATATATGGTAATTTTTATATATAGTGAAATTACTTAAAAAATGTCTATAATAAGAGTTATTTCAACTTAAAGATACACTGCAAATTGGTGTGATTTCTTCAGCTGTTCAGGCCAATTTCTGACACTTCAATACTCATTGAGCCAAACTGTAGTTTATACTGCAACTATACTGAGTGGACCTTAGTTACAGTTCACTTAGGAAACAAATAGTTTTGAATTCAGAGTTGTCCTTTGCCAAGACTGGTTATCAACAATGGCTAGAAAGTCCAGTTTGACTGGCTATTTGATCCATAGCTGGAAAATATCAGTAACTATACAGTTATATTTACAATATGATGAACAATGTTTTAGTTGCATAATAAAATTTTACATCATTATTATTATTGTAAATATTTCTAATCAAAAACCTTTTCTATAAATACTTTCATGGTAATTCTTCAGATTAACTCTTCATTATGGTACCTAGACTATGAATTTAAGCACAGTACTAAATTGGCAACAAGGTTTCATTATTTCACAGTGAAATCAGCTCAATGTAACCATAAGTTCTATGCCAACAGTTTCTTTTCTCCCATTTTTTGCTTGTGAAACTCCCTTCTGGCTTCATGCTTTCCAGCCAACTTTCATCTACAAAGATTTCAGTGCAATGTCAGTCGCTATCTACTGTCTTCCTGATTACTCTTCTATTGTTCTCTCTTCTTAGTAATCTTTCTGTTTTCTAATTCTTCCACACCCAATAACCCCTTATGTCTTAGTGGCTTTACTGCCTTACTTGGGTGGAAATCAATTAAAAAAAATGTAGTGTTCCTGAAACAAAATTCTAGAGTTTTTTTTAATAAGATGGTTCGCTGATCCTGCTATTTATCTAGAGCTCCTTGATAAAATCTAAAGAATCAGCAATATGCCCTGAGCTGGCATCTTGGCTTCAGTCACTTTCCCACCACTGTAAATTTGCTTCCCTGTGCCTTTTCTATAAATACTTTCATAGTAATTGTTTTGATGAGCTCCTTACTATGGTACCAAGACTTTATGAATTTAAGAGCAGTATTAGATTAGCAACAATGTTTTATCAATATACAGTAGAGTTGGCTAAATGTAGCTGTAAGTTCTATGCCAACAGTTTCTTTTCTCACACTTCTTATTTGTGGAACTCTCTTCTGGTTCCATGCTTTCCAGTCAACTTTAATCTTCAAAAATTTAAATGCAATGTCAATCGCTATCTATTGTCCTCTTGATTATTCTTTTATTGTTTGTGCTCCTTAATAACGTTTCGCATTTTTCCTTCTTTCACACTAACTCCTTGTGTCTTAGTGGATTTTCTGCTTTGCATGGGGTGATATGATTAAAAAACAAACATAAAATTCACCTGATATATTTATAAGTAAAAGTTTATTCTAAAAATTTTACTAACATCAGATAATTAAGACCAATTTTATTTTTAAAACACAGATAATAAAAGCTGAGATTGTGTATGATTTTTATTAACATCTAATTCTCTGTATGAATTGTGATTATACTAAACTCCTTTGTATTGCTCAAGAACAAAATTTGTTTTCTTCACAAATTCAGAATTCATATTTCTGCTGCATAATTATGTTCTTTGAAGAAAAAAATTGTTACATAACGATATTTTAATAATTTTTATGTCAGGTCATTCTACAAGTGCTACTGGGCACTTCAACATGGTGTAATGGTTAACAAGCTTGTCTTGCTAGATCAATTACAACTGAGTAATGAGCTCCACACTTTCAGTCTTGTGACACACCTAAGCTACACTTACAAAACTATTTTTTGGACACCTTGATGTGTTTTAATCCTCACTGAGTGCCCCATACTTTTGGCCTTGTTCCACACCTAAGCTATGCTTACAAAATCACCAGGGTACTTCAACATGGTTAACAAGCTTGTCTTACTAGATCAATTGACTGAATAGAGAGTTCAGTCCTCACTTGGTGCCTATGTGCTGCATCTAAGCTATGCTTGGAAAATCACCATTATACAAATGACGCTTGTAGCATCTAACCCAGTACTATCTGCTGCATTGTCAGGTCATCGGTGACTAAGTAGATTCTCCCCCCAGACTTTTCTATTGAGGAGTGTGGCTAGATACCTAGCAGGATTAAAAGAGTAAATGGACCTTCTTTTAGTGTCATCAGTCAACTAGCACAATGGAGTAAACTGGGCTCCATAGCTATGGATGGAACCAGTGCAATGTTGACAAGGCATTATGCTAGATGACCATTGACAGAGGGTCCCCCTGATGTAATCAACAATCACACATTTGTGACCAAAATGAGTCTTCAGGTTGGAGGACATTAGTTTTGGTTTGCTCTGGAGTGGGATGATCTCCACCAGGACTACTTGCCCAAAATATGCCATGCATGAATAAATACCTCTCTAATCTTTAACTCAGATTTAGGTTGGGAAACAGGTGCTCAGCAATGCAGCAACTCTACAACTACTCCCGGTTATGAAATATATTTTTTCTTTTTTACTCTTTCTACCTTGTGTCTATCGATTTCATTCTATGAACTTGACTCTTATCTAAAGAATTCAGAAAACTATGATAAAACTTTCTTGTCTGACTGGTTTTGTTTCTTACTGAAAGTTTAGTTAATCTAAAACATAACTAATCTTTTCCTTTTAACATTTCATTTGTAATATTTCAAGTGGCCATATCACCAGTCCTTTTCATACCTGAATTTCTAAGTCACTCCTTACTATGACCTTGCATTTCTTCACATGACTGGTCACATGATGTAACTTAATTTGTTTACTTACTTATTGCAATGCCATCAATTTTCATGAATATGAAAATGTTCATTAGAAACAGTCAATTACTTTCAGTGATCAACAATCTAATTTTTCATAAGATATTTATTTTTTGACTAATCATAAAAATAATAAAAAAGAAAAGTAATAAAAAATAACAATGCTTCTACTATGCAGATGTATTTCTTCTATATGCCATGTTCCTTCATTATGTTGTTGATCATGGCTCTCCACAATTCCCTGCCCTTTGTAGCTTTTAATAAATTTTGTCTTTTTGTTATCTCTCCTAAACCCAGTTCCACCTTCCATTTATACAAGCTAATTCTTCCACTATATGCTGTGTTTCTTCAGGACTTGGGCAATAATGGCTCTCCACAATTTCCTGTCCTTTGTACATTTACATTTCTAACTAAATTTTTCTGTTTATTAATACTTTGCTTAGCTTTTGAAAGGCTACTTTCATTGTCCCAATTTCTCTTCAGATTTCAGTGTCACACTTTCCATTCTCTGCTAAAACACTTCCTAGATATTTAAATTGTTGTACTTGTTTATTTTGCTATCTCCAATTTATAATTTGCATGTTAAGCTCTTATTTTTGCTAACAATCATGTATTCTATCCTCGTGCAATTGGTGTTTAGTCCTTTCTTCTTGCTTTCCTTCACTACATTCTTGTAATTTCTTTTCTGTGTCTGCTGTCAACACTGTTATCGGCATATCTTCTATTGTTATGACTTATAATTCTCTCAGAATTGCTTAACTGTATAGGTTGAATAAGTGTGGTGAGAAAACTTGTCTTACATTCCATTCATTTTAATTTTTATAAATTTTATTTTTTAAGCAAATCCTTTGCTGGAAGCCTTTGGAAATGCAAAAACTGTGCGGAACAACAACAGTAGTCGATTTGGGAAGTTTGTTGAGATCCATTTTGATAAAAAGGTAAGTGTAATGAACAACAGCAGAGAGTTGGAGTGGTGCTTATTGAACTTATATATGACCATCATGTAGACACCTTTTATAGTCATAAATGTAGAAGAGTTACAATAAAGTAAGGGAGGTAAGTAGATTTGATCACTATGCTGTGAGGTTGACATAGTAGGCATACAATTTTCTGTTGGAGAGATAAGCAATTTCCTGAAGTTGTCTGATGACATGTATGCCATTATTGCAACTCTTACAAGAATAAAAGCCAAACAAGGTTTTGAGGAGTTGATTTTCATACAAGGAGAAGAATCTTTTATTATAAAATCAATTCTCTAAAAACCAATATAACATAAAGTGTATTAATATAATTTAAAGAATTGCTATCAGATATTATTTATAAACATTTTTTTTTATTAACATGAAGTGAAAAGATTATATTGAATCAATTTCCATGTCTGCTGCTAGGAAAGTTGGTTTATTGTGTCGTGCTAGAACAATGGTTCTCAACCAGAGGTGCTCACACTTTGTAGGGTGCAATATCGATTCCTAGGGTGTGCAAGGATACTGAACCATTAGGGTTGGTTTATTAAGGCAAGTATAATGTATCGTTTGGCAATCTGATATAAAATTTTACGTTATAGAAATTTTACCAATTGCTACCATCATAATAGCATAAATGTATATTTAAGGGAAAAATGAGTGGAAATTGCTGGTAAAAATGTGGTATAGTTGAAAACACTGCAGTTGTTTTGATAAAGAGCTGAACTACTGCTCAAATATTGTTGAGATGTGTTTACTCAAATGTGATATTGAAATATTGTTTAATTGTATTTGTGCTTACATACAAACAAGGAAAAAGGTTAAGAATCACTGAGTTAGACATTTTTTTTCTCTCCAGAATCTAAGATGTTAATAAGTCTACCATTCATCTATTTATCTATTTATAAGTCTACCATTCATCTATGCTTTTAATATTGCTGTTACATCTGATCTGGTACCCTAGCTATATATTTAGAGAATCTTGATAAAATCCAAAGAAGTATCTGCAATGTTATTGGCCCTTAACTGGCATCTTGGCTTCAGTCATTTCCACCACCATAATGTAGCTTCCTAGTGCCTTTTCTATAATTGTTTTCATTGTTCTGATGAACTTTCTAATATGGTACCTAGACTTCATGGATTTAAGTGCATTACTAGATTCACAACAAAGTCGCATCATTTTACAGTTCAACTTTGATATTCAAATATTTAAATGCAATGTCAATTGTTATCTCTCCTTAATAATGTTTTCTTTTTCTCATACTCTCACATATAGTAACCCATTGCATCTTAGTAGTTTTAGAGCTTTGCTTGGAGTGAAATGATTAATATATATATATATATATATATATATATAACTTTAATAATAAATTTTAAATAATAACTTTAATAATAAATTCAGATAAATTTAAATGCCATGTCAATCATTATCTTCTTTTTTCTTAATTTCTGTCCTTTTATTGTTCTCTCTCCTTAATATTGCTTTATATTTTTTTCCTTTTACATCATTTTCTGTAACCCCATTAAGATGAAAACATTTTAGTGGCTTTTATTGCATTGATTGGGGTGAAATGGTTTAAAAAAAAATCTCTTTTTATTTTTTAATTTCTAAATGTCTGTCTCTAAATTTTTTGCAGGCAGCAGTTGCTGGTGGTTTTATCTCCCATTACCTACTTGAAAAATCCCGTATTTGCGTTCAAGGGAAAGAAGAACGGAACTACCACATATTTTATCGGATGTGTGCTGGTGCTCCTGATGGCATAAGGCAAAAATTACAACTCTATGATCCTGACAAATTCCGCGTATGTTTCAAATTTTTTGTAAAATCAATCCATATTTATAGTATCAAAGACAACAGTATTTAATTTCAATAATTTTCTTTGGTTTATCGACTTTGTAATCTAATTTTCTCTTTATTCCCAGTATTTGAATGGCGGCTGCACTCAATACTTTTGCTCCCAGGAGAGTAATAAAACTCTGGACAAGAACCGGAAGAGCAAACAGGTACTTTTTTTTTTATTCAGTTCAGTTAACATCATAAGTCTATTACAATAACCATCACGCTCCTTTATCAAGGTCTGAAAATCATTAAGGTGGCATTCTGTGTCTTAACATAGCTGGCTAATGTAGGTGGTTGCTGGGCGACCAGCCTGTTTTGCCCATGGCTAGGTGTCCAGAGCAGTAGATTACTTGATTTACTTGCCAGCAATGTCCTGCAAAAGTGCATTTTGTGTTCGTGTATGATTGTAGAAATATGAGGGATGGTTCCATAGAGCTGTGATTTAGTTGGATATTGTTTCCAAGAGATTTTAAGTATAGCTCTCAGCATCTGAGTGTAGGTTCCATCAAACTTTGACTGTAGGATTTTAGTTAATGTCCAGGCAGTGGCACCATACATTAACACCACCTCTACAGTGGCTCGAAAGAATCTCCATTTGAGGTTGTCTGGTAGGTCAGATTTCCAGATTACACCCATTTTGTTCAAGGCAGCACAGAATGAACAGTTATGGTTGTATAAAAATAAAATCCTGAATGTCTTACCTTTCTATAAGAGCTACAAATTTATGAATTGTTTTCTCCCTCCAGCTATGAGGTAATTAGTAAGACTTGTATCACTAAACCATTATTATCTTCAAGAAAAAAAATTTACAATCTAAAAATATTTTCTGGCTTTAAATAACCTTTAATGGGTTGAAACCATAGAAAATGAATTGATCAATCTAACCATCTAGGCTCTGACCAGGCTCAATGATGCTCTATTTTAGGGATCATACAAGAATTCTTAACCTTTTTCCTTGTTTGCATGTGTTTCAATGTGATATGACCAAAAGTCCACACATTATTAGAAAAGAAGGCTAGAAAAACTTAACATACATAGGACACATTGAATGCAAGAGAATAAGGAATATATTCCTGGGAATGACAATAAACTACATCCAGTTGCATGGCCTCTGATTGGGAGATTTGAAGAGCATGGAACCACCTCTTAATTGCCGTTGTTCCCAAGTCAACTCTGACCCATAGTGGTAGCACCTGTTACAGTCCTAGCTATGAACAAATAATGAACCCCCAAACAAAAACTATGAAATTATAACAATTCATTTTTATAGTAAAATTACCAACAATACTCATATACAAACAAATTGTAGTTGCTTCACCAAAATATGTTTAAAATATTACCAAACAACCAACATGAAAGAACTTTTATTACATTAATTCATACCATATCCTACAATTTCTTAAATCAAACTGTATTCCAAGAAAAATACAACATAAAACACATATTACTGCCTCTAGTAATTATTTTCACACAAACATATACATGTACAAAAGATATACATCATTTACCATGTATTCAATTGTGAAAGCAGAATATTATTACTTCCAAGCTCCCAAGAAAATTAAATTTCAGCATTAAATGATCCATGAGGAGTTAATATGCCATTAAAGAGACAAATTATTCAACAATCAAAATGAAGCCTAAATGACAATTTTCAGCAAATGGAATTGAGAAACAAATATCATCAGTCCCTTGACCGTGTGCAGTCATAGGGCCATTGTGCAACAGAGCACCTGACTAGTTCCCTCTGCACACCTGGATTAAAACAAAAACAGACAGGTATTCATGCATGCGTAAGCATGTCTTGGGCAAGTAGACCTGGCACTCTCCATCACTCTCCAGGTCAAACCCACAACTGATGTACTCCAACTTGAAGACTTGCTTTGGTCACATGTGCAGATGTGTTGATTCTATTGGTGGAATCTTCCACCTAGGCTCATCACCCCAGTAGCTGGATACATATCTATGAACAACAGTATACCCCATTGTACTAGATGGCCATTGACTTTACAAGTTGGTTCGACCACATTTTGTCAGGCCTTTTTTTTTTTTTTAAATCCTGCTGAGCATCTAGCCACCCTACTTACAAAAAAGATTTTGTTGGGGAACCAGTTTAGCCACCAGTGATCTAAACATGGGGCAGTTTTTTTTGTTGTTTTTTGTTTTTATTAATCATTTCATTCCAAGCAAGGCAATAAAGCCACTAATCTGCAAGGGGGTTAATGAGAGTGAAAGAATCTGAGAAAAATCATTATTGAGGAGAGAGGTCACTAAAAGAAGGGAATTTCAAGAAGACAGAAGATGACATTGCATTTAAATATTTAAAGATCAAAGTTGACTGGGAATCAAGATGCCAGTAGAGAGTTTCACAAGTGAAAAGTTAGAGAGAAAAAACCGTTAGCATATAACTTCCAACAACAACTAGCAATTTCAACTGTCAATCAGTTAAGTGTCATATGATTTACACTCTTTCAATTCATGACTGACGAGCAGAATATTTTCATGCATTAGGCTGTTGTTTCTTCTGACAGTAGACTGGTTGTGAACTAAGGCTATATGACCGAGTCTGTTCTGCTATTCAACTCATAGCTAGGAGGAGAAGTGATGGATTAAAACCTTTTCCAAAGGTATTTGTACACAAGTTAATGTAATAAACTCAACTGGATAGGTCTTGTTTTTTTTTGTCCTATGGGGTGATATACCATCTTCCCCATCTGCAGGGTGGTGGGGACTGGTTTAGATGCCAATCACTTGTCCATGTGGCAGGTGGTACTGGGTTACATGTTACCATTAGCAGCCCAAGTCTGACCTGACCAGCTTATTGAGCAGACTAATTCATTAATGTCATGAGTTCAATCCTTACTAGATGCCCCACTAAATTTAGAAAATAGCTATAATGTCTCCCTTCACTGTTAGTCAGATAGTCTGGCAGGCTATTACGGCTGTAGTAAGTTTAATTATCACTTTGTGAATCCATATCCTTCTATAATTGATTGCCTTCTCAGTCTTTCTGTATACTTGCAAATCTTGGGCACTGTTGGCTGTTGGCACCTATAAGAAGCTAAATCACTCTTTGACAGGACTTGTTCTTTAGCCTGTCAGATGACATGCCACCTGCATGATTTCAAAATAACTTTTAGTATGCGAAAATCTTTTAAAAAATTTATTTTAATAAGAACCATCCCCACACAAAAAAAGTTCACTATTTACATTATTCGGACTATTGTCCTCATTTTGTCACCATATTTATTACAACGTTTCAGTCGTTGTATGCTCTGGCCTTCTTCAGGTGGCTGGAATGTCGAACTGAACCCTTTATTTCGCTCACTGGGGTAGACTGTTCTAGTTCCACGTGCCATGTTTAATGGATGTCAGTTATCAGTTATCTCCTGTTAATTCCCCTCTCAAAGGGGTATTATCAACTTAATGTCTTCAGTAACCATTTTTTACCAGTGCTCATATTGCAATTTTTGCTGTTATCATTGCATGTTTTTTACCAGAGCTCATATTGCAATTTTTTTTTTGTTATCACTTTTCCCTGGCACTCCTTACTACTGGTTCCCATATTGTATTCATTTCTATGCTTGGTCGGCTCAGGAGATTTTTGTGGTGTAGCATATGTGCTGATTCCTTAAGTTTATGAATTTTCCAATGGTGTTCTTTTTCTATGATCTCAACCTGATCCCACAGAGGGTGGTGATCTCCCTTTTCTCTCCATATGTGGTCAGCCATGCCTGATTTTTCCACTTCCCCTTGTGTTACAGCTTTCTGGTGTTCTTGAAGCCTTATCTTAAGGGGGCGGCCTGTCTCCCCTTTATATTTCTTTCTGCAACTGCACGGGATAGCATGCACACAGTCTTTAGTCATGTTCTCCTCTGTGTGGATCTTACTTGGGAGAGATATCTGCGAAGTGTCGTCCAGCTTTTGAAAGTTGTCCTGATGTTATATTGACCACAGTCTAAATAGTACCCTACAACACAACAACTACCCTGGGTACATGGCAGCAGCCAAAAAAAACTGGGATGGGCAGGTACAAGAGGAGGACAACAACACTCAAAAAACAGTCTGCCTGCCTTATGTGAAGGGGTTATCAGAGAAAATACAAAGGTAAGCTGATCATGGATACCATGACTTAAATGGGGATGAGTGACAGTGATGAAATATCCTCTCCTGTGTGTCCTCACATATACATTAATAGATCTTATTAGAAAATCTAAACAATTTCTTTTTTCCTTTTATATCCACAGTGCTTGCAACAAGGTAATCTCTTTGATCCTCTGCTGGATGATATGAAAGACTTTAGGCTGATCACGGATACCATGACTAAGATGGGGATGAGTGACAGTGAAAAGGAAGCCATTTTTGGCCTGGTAGCAGCTGTAATGCATCTCGGCAACATCTTGTTTGAAGAGAACCATGATGACAGCAAAGGTGGTAATAATCCTATTTTTTATGTTGTGCCCCCGCGTCTGTCCTTGTTATGTGATGTGATCCTCGTTCTCCATTGTAACCACCTCATCCTGCCTGGCCATTATTCTTCCTGTTGTTGCTGCTGCTACTGTGACAGTCTTCATCATCTTACATTGTTCATCTATTTTACTTCAACATCACCTCCACTGATAGACGTCTGATTTCTACTCTTTTTAAATCTTTTTTTTTATTCTATTATTTAACCCTTTCAATAGTGTTTTTAAACTCTTTAACAAAATCCAATGAAATAGATTTTTTATAGTCAATGGTAATCTATTTATGTACCAAAATAACATAATTTATGAGTATAGAATGCCATTAAAAATTAAGTTATCTCTTTTGGCTATGCATGTCAATTAGCATATAACTTTGTATGCAAAATGGAATTAGTTTTTTGTAATTTTCTGTAATCCATACTTCAACTATCCCTTAAAAAGCTGATAAATTTAAACAGACTTTCATGAATCATGGCATAATTGAAGTAAAAAGGTATGACAACAAAAATCTCACTAAAAACTACTTTTGTGTTTACAACTAATTTACACTATCTTCTTGCAATTAAAATCAAAATTAAATCTTCAAAGAAAATTAAATTATTTTCAAATATAATGTGACCCCCTACTTTACCCTGCATGGAAAGTGTGAAACAATCATGTGTAATGGGATCCCCACTTTACCCTGCATGGAAAGTGTGAAACAATCATGTGTAATGGGATCCCCACTTTACCCTGCATGGAAAGTGTGAAACAATCATGTGTAATGGGATCCCCACTTTACCCTGCATGGAAAGTGTGGAAAGTTTTCACTTTATTCAAGAGAATTTCTGTAGCCAATATAACCCCAGATCGTGCAATTTCTTTCCCATAGAAACAGTATTTCCATCACAAAAGTATTCACTTTCTGTAATGAGGATGATTCTTCATGATAAGAGTAATACTGCACAACCTTTGAGAGCCAGTTAATAAGATAATGATTATGTTATAAAAAGATTAAAGTTTATAAAAGTGAAATTTAACTTGCATCTTTTCTCATATAAATTTAAAATATCAAAATATGTAACATCAAAAGAAAAATTTCAGTTTACAAAGATTCTAAAATAGACTTTAATGTATAGACAAATACTAATAAAATAACATTTTAACTCCTGTCTAACCAAGAGTTACAAAAAAGTTTTGATTTTCATTTAATAGATATACAATAGATACAAACAGGAATATCTCGTATTTCATAGATTTTCTGTAAATATTTGTTATAAAATATTAGTTATCTTAAGAAAAAGCATATTTTCAAAGATTTCTTGAGACAAATTAAAAATACCAAAAATTATGTTTAATATAAATATTACTATAAGTATACAACATAAGTAAGATGAACATTTTTTTCACAGAATTCTCTATAAAATGGTCTTTGTAAAACTTGCTATTTAATGGGTTAAATCATCTTTTCTTTAAGAGAGCTATTATGAGAATTTTTTAACTAAATATTTGGTTATTATAGAAATTAGGAACTGAATGAATGATTTATGAATTTCAAAAAGAGAAAAATAATAAACATATGTTTTTCATTATATTGATAAATGAATTGTAATTATCATGAAACGTTAGACTTGATATCTTAAAATTTATTGTGATTCCCCGTCTCTGGCTTTTATGGTAATGGTGTAAAAGTCAATAAATCTACAAACTGACCATTTTTTAGTCAATACATTTGTTAAGATGTATTAAAAAAACATAAAATGATCAAACATTCAAAATGTAATTGAGAATTTTCATCCAGACCAGGTGATAAAATCACTAAAATACAAAGGGTTACTGAGAATGAAAGAATCTGAGAAAAACATTATTGAGGAGTGAGGACAATAAAAGAAGAGGATTAAAGGAGACAAAAGATTGTCATTGAATTTAAATTTTTGAAGATCAAAATTGACAGGAAAGCAAGATGCCAGAAAAGTGTTCCACAATCGAGAGAAAGAACTGTCAGCATAGAACTTACAGTTGCATCTAGCTATTTCAACAGTAAAATCATGAGCCCTCACTGCCAATCTAGTACTGTGTTTAATGTGTGAAGTTAAGGTACCAAATAAGAAAGCTCATCAGAACAATTACCATGAAAAAACTTATAGACAAAGCACAGAGAAGCTATGTTACAGCAGTGGAAAAGTCAAGATGTCAGGTCAGCACCTATAACATTGCAGATTCTTCTTTGTATTTTGTCAAGAATCTCTAGATACATCACAAAAAACACCAAACCAGATATGGCAGTATACTTGCCTCTTGTAGTCAGTTTCTTCTAGTTTAAAAGTAATCAAATTTCTGTAATCAGTTTCCTTAAACCAATACAGTAGCAGTATGAACTTAAATCAAACAATCCACAAACACTGACTGAAACACTGGTCTTCTTATATTCATTACATATGTTAAAAGAAATTCTTGCAAGAGTCTATCTGACTCCAAGATCTATTCACGTTAAATGTGTGAAATTGTGAAACTGCCATTTTCATTGTATTTGGATACCTTTAATTTGAGACATGTCTGAATTCATTTTAATCCTGGAGGTAAACCATTTTCTTTAGTGTTACAGATAGCAATGTTCAATGCATGGATGAATGGTAAACTTAGAAAGGCGTAAGACAGATTCTGTCAAGGAAACCTGTCTAGAGCGCTGTGAAATCTTTACTTTCCAGCCTTGACAGAGTTCAAAATATTTACATAGCCTTGTGGGTGATGAATGATTTTCCACCCTACAACCCCTTTCCCACAGATGAAATGTTACAATGTTACAGTTGTTTGTTTTTGATTTGGTTGAATGCACATTATAGTAGGTTCAGTTTGGCACCATCTGTGAGAAAAAGAGCACCATGACACAATTCACTCTACCAGAAATTTGAAAACAACATGCTGTACTGATTGGCATTTGCACCAGAAGCTCTAATACAAACATTTCAGTGTTAGGGTGTCAATCTGAGGACAGTGCTGAGGATTCAGAAAGAGTTGGATGAGTCTAATGGTGATTACAGTTCAGAAAACTCAATCTGACTGTTCTGATAAGAAAAAAACTCCTAAAGTTGTTGAATAGGGCCTCAAACTCAACATGGATGCCTACATCGTTACTTGAGGAGGTAGTGCTTCCCTGGGTCAAGAGGGTGGCTGCTGGAAGACCCTATGTCTGGCAGCAGGACTCTGCCCCATACTACAGAAGCAGGAGAACCCTGTCATGGCTTTCTGACAATTTCTACAACCACATCACCTTTGGCCCCCTAACTCCCCAGACTTCAACCCCATTGATTATTGTGTGTGGAGTGCAGTTGAGTGAGAGACCAACAAAACTCTTTTTAACACCAAAGATGAACTGAAGGCAAGGATTATGGCAGCATTCACCAACTTAAATAAGGAAATTGTCCAGAAGAGTTGCAAGAGATTTTGAAGCCAATGGCGATCTTATCAAATACATTTACACTTTAGTATTTCAAGATATTTTAGTGTAATTTTGGTAAATATATCTGTCAAAATGAGATATCAGTGTTATTTTCATTTTTGCGCCATGTAGATGACAATTTATCCATTGCACCCTGAAGTCAAACTTTGAAAATGACAACATAAATGACCAGGAAGACTTCATTGAATATGTACTATGGAAACATATTAAATTTAATCCCATTTCTAACATTTAACATTTTGAACAATTTCTGCTGAAAGATATTGACATTTTATTTCTAATAAATAACCACTTTAATGAAAATATTTTAAATTAACTTTGTGAATAGATTCTCATAATAGATCTCTTCTTTACATTTCACGTTCCATCACAAAAATTATTTGTATAAAAAAAACTGTTCATTATTCCAAAATCATTTTATGATCTCAAGTAAGTACAGAGAGAAAACATTTTATAATGGTTGATATACTAACTCAATTAGTAATAAGAGACTAACGTTGGAAATGGTTCGGTGACAGTTTGACAAAATTTATTTAAATTTTTCGGTTTGCTTTGGTTTTTGTGCAATAGGGCAGTGGATAAAATTTCTTTTGGGGGAAAAATGAGGAAACTTCCACCAAAGTTTGTCTCAATATTTAAAAAATGCCTGAAGACATATATAAAAAATCTCTATGAAGAAACCAGAATTTATTTGTTCTTGTTCAAGAATATCTAATGACTACCAGAAGAGCATTTATTTAATGTTTCTTTTTACGTCAACAAGGTATAGCAACAACAAAAAAAAGTCATTTAACCAAGTTACTATCTGCTGCTTCTTCTCCCCTTGAAAATAGTCAATGCACTTTTGCATTCTTTTTGTTGAGCATCAACACTATATATAGAATTTTGTGACAAAGTATGTCAAAATGTCCAAAAGTTCTACACATGAGCACTTTCGGTTATTCTTTTAGCCATTATTAAGGGTGATTTTTATTTCTTACTAGCAGCATGGCTTGGCGTTGCCTGTGCTTGATTCAAAAATTGTATGACTCATACAGCAATTGGTATCGCTTGACTTAAAATATTTTTGCCCTTCCTTGCATTTAAAGGAGTGCCCTTTGCCATGCTGATGTTGCTACATGCCTTACTTCTTGCCTATCTCACACTGCGAATATTTTCTAAGCTCTATACTAAACATTAAATCTGTTATGAAAAAAGAACTAAACAAAATGATCGCAAAATGATCAGCTTTAAAAAAGGACACGTAACTGGAAAAACCGAATGAAAAAAGAATGTTAACAACAAATACTTTTTCTCACACCAACCCAGTTCTGCGGAATCAGAATCAACGTTGAGTTTAAGCAAGCAAATGAGCCAATTGGAGTAAAGTGCCATGCAGATTTAAATTTTTCCCACTTGTGACAAATGCAGCCATCAATTTTTTTTGAATGCTAGCATGCTAGTTAACATTCATGTCAGTCAGCTGTTGGCTCTCACGCTGGCCAATGGAATCTTCCTGCCTATTCGTGGTAGCCAGCTATAGGCTC